GTATTATTTAATAGTATTTGAGGTTAGAAGCCAAGCTGGAACTTGAGTTGTGTGGTTCTCCATCTCTTAAGATAAGATCCAGCATAGTTCTTGCTGTGTAGTAAATTACATGGTATGGCATTTCTAGCCTTACTCTTTGTAACTCCCCCTTTGCCATGAGTAGCTGATTGTTAAAGTTATTCAGCTGGTGTATTTCTGTTGTAGCGGCACAGAGCAATCTTAGGGGAAGTTCATTCTCTCTCAGGTGTATAGAATTCTGATGTTGGGATTGGTTGGTTTGGACCACTCTGCCAGGCTCAAAAGGAAGCCCTTCTAGAGGCGGGAGGAGAGAATCTCTCACTGCTGGCTGAGAGACTGAGAGATGCACTGCTGAGAGAGAGAGAGAGAGATGTGAGAGACAAACACTGCTGAGAGACACACACTACTGAGAGAGAGACACACCCTGCTGAGAGAATGATGTGCTACTGAGAGAGACTGCCAGCTGCTGAGTGAGACAGCTGGCTGCAAGAAAATGAGTGTGTTCCTGAACTTGAATTGTAGCCTTTTGCTTCTCTAACAAGCCTCTACTTCCATAGTGATACTGCCTCGGAAACCCAAGGAGGGATCACTATAAGTAAGGTCCGACTCAACAGCACATAACAACAACAACAGCAGCAAGCCCCATAATCTGTGAGTTCTGTGTGGCCACTGCAGCAAATTATTGAACCCAGGAGAGGTGGTGGGTGCCACAGAAGGAACGGTCGTTGACAAGGTTGATAAGAGGGTTGGAGGGAGGCAGCATGTCTGGCCTTGCAGGCATAGGCCTTGGGCTGCTGATCGTGATCCTGTCTTCCTCTTGTGGGGTTAGAGGAGGTCAGAAGATACAGCCTCCCTGCCCCTTTTGCAGTTGGCATCAGAAGTGGTATTCGTTGCAGTGGCCCCAGCCTCATAGAAGCATGGGACTTTGTAAAAGAAAAAAGGAAGGGGCCTGAGAAGTGAAACTGTAGATTCTTAGATGGTTGCTTTGGTTGGTGTTATCTACTAAAGAAGAAAATTGATTCAGAGTCTAGGTCTTCTGGTTAAACCCAGCCAAAGGCCCAAGGCTGTATACATAGAATGGGAAGATAATCAAGGTTAAGGGATGAAACAGCAATGTCTTAAGGATTATGTTTTGTATTATGTATTTATCTGAATGTACTATGGATACTGCATGTTCTCTTACCTAGTTGTACATTAGAAATGATACTTGAATGGATATGATAAAAGGGGAAATAGAATTTGCCCAGAAGAACACAGGCTTTTGTTTCAAGCCGTGTGTGTAGAGTATTAGGCACTTAGGTAGAAAACCTGAGCCCCAATCAGGACTACTGAGAGACCAGAATATCTGCACTTGAAAACGGGACCTACTAAAATGACTCTTTGCCTTTTTGAATTTCAAGCAAGCAGTTAGGCTTTGGGTGCATTGAGGCAGGAAAGTCATGGTCCATGAGAGAAACCCCTTCCAGGACTGGAAATTAAAGGAAGGCAGTGAGTAGTATTGTAGTTTATATGCTGCTCGCTTGTGACCACCTGGGTCCATGGGAGTGGAAATGGGGGAAGAGCAGCAATGAAGAAACAGGCTGAGTTTGGTACTCTTTAACCTAGGCTATGGAGGCCAGGGATGAGAGGAAGGGCTGGCTGGTCTGAAGTGTAAGGAGTTGTGAGCCTACAGCATTGAAATAATCCCTGAGGACAAAGGATGTGAGAGAGAAGGTGCTGGCTGGTCTGAAGTGAAGGGAAGAGTGTGACTCAAAACTTGGCAGCTGGTACCCATGACCTAGCTGGGATGGCTAGGGCTGAGCTGACCAGAACCCAACCAAACGAAGAGGAAGATGTTTGACACTGAGCTGGCATTAAGTTGCTGCAATTTGATGGCTTGAGCTGGGCTGGACTGTGCTTGTTTATGGATGCAGATGCCCAAAGTTTCCAAGCAGAACAGAAGATTCTCCAGAGAGAAAGGAGCATGCTTTTTCTTCTCAGAGTACTGGTTTGATAGGGATGGGCAAATTAGAAACTGGCTATTTAAAATGGGGAGAGATAAAGGCATGATGTGACTGGCTTACACGCCTTAATGGGTATGGATATTCTCAAACTGATGAAGGGGATGTTAATTTTTTAAGTATAAAAGGGATAAACAAATGAAACAAAAACGCACTGCCATCGAGTCAGATCCAACTCACAGAGACCACTCCTTGGGTTTCCGAGGCAGTATCACTATGGAAGTAGATTGCCCAACCTTCCTTCCAAGGAGTGGCTGGTGGGTTTGAACCACCAGCCTTCTGGTTAGCAGTCAAATGCCTTAGGCACTACACCACCAGAGCTCCCAAAGTGATAGTACTGTTAATTATTTTGCTGGTACGTCTAGAATAATCTTAAATACCCCTGATGATTAAAGGTCTTAATTTTATTTGCAACGTTTTTAGAATAGCACAGTGAGTCTAAACATGACATTGACCTTTACTATATCCCCCTCCTTGGGTTTCCGAGGCAGTATCTCTACAGAAGTAGATTGCCCAATCTTCCTTCCAAGGAGGGGCTGGTGGGTTTGAACCACCAGCCTTCTGGTTAGCAGTCAAATGCCTTAAGCACTACTGTGCCATCAGAGCTCCTATAAAAAGGTGATTGGTTGGTTTTGGGTACTCTGCTAAGCTTAAAAGGAGCCATCCTAGAGGCAGAAGGAGAGGATCTCTCTGACTGCCAGCTGAGAGACGTGCTTGCTGAGAGAGAGGGAAAGAAAAGAGACACACACTGCTGAGAGAGAGGTGTGCTGCTGAGAGAGACGGCCGCCCGCAAGAGACTGAGCACATTTCTGAACTTGAATGTGTAGCCTGTTGCTTCCCTAATAAACCCCGTATTTTGTGAGTTCTGTGTGGCCATTGTGGCAAATTATTGAACCCAGCCGAGGGGTGGTTGGTGCCACAGGAGGAACGGTTAGTGTCAGGGTTGGAGGAAGAGGTGGAAGGAGGCAGCATGTCTGGTCTCACGGGAATAGGCCTTGGGCTGCTGATAGTGATTCTGTCTTCCTCTTGTGGAGTGAGAGGTCAGAAGATGTGGCCTCTTTGGCCCTTAAGCAGTTCTGTAAGGAAAAGGTCCTTGCCTTAATAGCCCCATGAGAGCTGACATTATGGTTAGACATGAGAAGAAAGAATTAAAACACATGGTTCTGTTTTTATATATTACTCACTTCTTTTCATTGTATATTCTGTACTTACTCAGTATTGTCCATTTCTGTTGTATATCAGCTCATGTCATGGTTCGCTCTCTCTCTCTGAGACCTCCCCCCAAGCATAAGCCCAGAGCTTTTTATTTTTCCCTTTTTAAATAAATAAATAAGTAAACACTTGAGTCCCCAAGATAGTACCATGAAGTTTCTTCACTGAGATAAGGAAATTAATGTTTTTTTTTTTTTTAAAAGGAATAAAAAGAAATCAAAATATTGGGAATTAGAAACTATTTAGAGTATCTTACAGGGCTTTTCAAATACTTGTCCACCTCTTTGAAACATTTATTATGGACCTATCATGTGTAAAACACTGCAAGGTAGGTGCAATATCAAGCCATTTAAAATGTCCATCTTCCTAGTCTTGCTATACACTCTATGCAATTCAGTAGCTCCTAGCTCTTTTACAAGGAGCTCTGGTAGCACAGTGCCTAAGGCATCTCACTGCTAACCAGAAGGTTGGTGATGCAAACCCACCAGCCACTCCGTGGAAGCAAGACTGGACAATCTACTTCTGTAAAGATTTATCGCCTTGGAAACCCAATGGGGGTGGCTATGAGTTGGAATTGACTTGATGGCAGTGGGTTTGGTTTGGGGTTTTTTTGTAGCTCTTGTACAGGGCTTTGGTTCTTTGCTGTAAGTTTCTTTTTATAATCCATCAGTTGTGTAGCCTGATGAATTTTCAACTATAGAGTCAACCTTTCTATTCCTTTCTCCCCATGAAAGAGACCACATTGTCCTAGTGGGACCATTTGACAAATGGGACTGCAATTGCCAATATAAATCTTACTAGGTAAGAGACAACATGAACAGATCTTTGAGTCCTGTTATTTTATTACCTCTTTCATCAAAATTGCACATCTGGGTATTATACTTTGCTTTTAAATTCAGCTAGTATACTTCTGCTAACTCTGCTCATTAGAGACAAGAATCTTAACCTCAGTTAGTTTTCCAAAGGCTAACTTTGCCTTGTTTCAGACACAGTGTGGGCATATGGAATTTCTCTGTCTTATTATAGATATTGAATTTAGACATATTTCTCATTGTGTTATTCTTCTGACCTCTGTTTTTCTGAGAAGTAAAATAATCACTCAACTTCCTCTTTATTGGAGAATATATGACATAGCCTGTTTAAATATTTGTTGGGTTTTAAATTTATAAAACTTATAAAATTTATAAAACTTAAAATTTCAGGAAAAAACGTGATTATCACTTAAAAATAATTTATTTTAACTTTGCCATATGTCTGTTTATTGAATCCTTTAGTAAAATTTAGTAATTTCCATGCCTTTACAGAATAATCTTATTTCATTAAATACTTATTTCATTTTATATAATGCTTTACCATCTTTGCATTGACAAACTTTCTAGCAATTTTTAGTCAATGTGTTGCTTTGAGATAATTAAATGTTCTTATAAAATCCTATCATTCTTAAGAAAGTATGCCCACTCACCATTTACTGACATGGTTAGGTTCCAAAGCCCAGGTCATTATGAGACAATCAGCATTATCTGCCAAGCCACTGAAAATCATGCCCAGTCAAGATGACACGTAACCTTAACTGTCACAGCCAGCGTTGCTCTTGCCTCACACTTCAGCATTTGTGACTACCAGACTTAACTCATTAATGCACAAAATAGGTAATAGATTTCTTACTGTTGTCATAAATGTGAGGTTATTGGGTAGTGAGATAGTTGATAAGTGAGGAAAGGTGTAGTGTATTGAGTCTTCTTATCATCCTTTATTTTTGATTGTTCTCAGGTACATTTTATATTGGAGGAAAAGGTTCACTGAGCAGCCCATCACAGATTTTTGTAGTGTGATAAGAATCAATTCCACAGCTCCAATTGGTAAGTGTAATCTAGACTACTGTCTTTTTCCTACATCCAAGAATTTGAAGGAATAAGCTTACTATCTTAAGTTAGAATTGCTCTTATTTTCCTAACAGCTAAAATTAAATTGTTGTATTTATCTTGCCTAACTTGAATAAAGCTAAAACAGAGCCATACACCAGAAGAGATCAATACACACGCAAACACAAAGGAATAAATCTTTCTGGGGAAAAAATGATAAGTAACCTTTTTCTCATTTATTTTCCTATTCTCTTAACAGAAGAACAAGACAATTATTTTTTATTATGTGATGTTTTACCAGAAGATAGATTTCTTAGAGAAGAGCTTCAGAAACAGAGACTGGTAAGAATTGTTTTAAAAGGTGAACATGGCTGAAAATATATACAAAATTATTTCTGCTCTTGTTGTCTCCCTCTTTTTTTTGGTTTTTATAATAGAAGCTTTTAAACATACACAAAAGAGGTGGCGACGCTCTTAAAACAGCCCAAAGTGTACAGTGGACTAAAGATTAAAGCCTATCTATTTAAAAATGCAGAGAAAATTTTTGGCTTTGATTTACTTCCTGGATTATCTCTAAAATAACAGCAGAGCTTCACATTTTAGTGTAATTTTAGCCTCCTGACACATGCTAGGGTCCAGCAGTTGTGGAAGAAAGCCCCCAGCTAAAAATTGAGTGGAATTGATTAACCTTCTCCCCCCACCCCTTCCCTGCAATGTGCTATGCACTGTTGTTGTTGTTATATGTCATTGAGTCAGCATTTCTTTTATTACCCTTTATGAATTAAGCATATGTTATGATAAACATAGTAGCATTTCTCATTTTCAGGCTTAAATATAAATAAACAGCTTTAAAAATCTCAGCATCTTTAGTCTTTAAAGGAGATAGCAACATGTAAAGAATGAAAATTTTCATTTTCACAGATTAACCACATGTTGATAAATTTTTTAAATTACTAATTTTGTTTAAAAGCATGCAGTTTCCCATTATTAGTGATTGACTGGTTATTCCTTTAGTATTTTCTTGTAAGTCTGCCTTTGTCTTTGGACATGGCTAAATATGTATGTTATGAGAGAGCTGTGATTTAAATGTTTTCTAAATCCTCAAGAGTTCTAGGAAAAAAATAAATCCTCCCTACTATAGTTAAATGACTTGAGAATGACCCTTGAAGCACGTTTTGTTTTGTAAGCATCTTGAATGATTCTTTCTCCTAGTAAGGGGAAATGACATTATTGAATATTGATTTATACCTTAAAAAATGATGCTTTTCCCATAACAACAAATCCAGTGATAGACCAGAACTTCTGGTATTTCTCTTCTCACCCTATGGCAATGCCTTATGAAACCTACAAAACCAGTGTCTATTTATTGTCATATTTTATGAATTTTGTTTGCTTATAGTTATTCAGAATGTTCAATTTCTGGGAGTTTTCTCATTCCTGCTTACAGTAACCTTAATCAAGGATGATTAAACTGTCATATTCCCAGTTTCCCCAAGGATCCATTATAAGAACTCAAACCCTACTGCATCAGCCATTGTTATTCCTCAGGACTCAGAATCTTTATTACATGTCTACAGATAGACTCAAGTCCCTGGAAATATCTGTCCACATCTACAAAATTTAGATGACCTTTTTACCTCCTTTGGGAGCTCTGGTGGCATAGTGCCTAAGGCACACTTGACTGCTAACCAGAAGGCTAGCGGTTCAAACCCACCAGTCCCTCCTTGGAAGGAAGGTTGGGCAATCTACTTCCACATACTGCCTCGGAAACCCAAGGAGGGGTCACTATGAGTCAGATCGGACTTAACGGCAGTGAGTTGGGTTTGGGGTTTTTTACCTCCTTTACAGTCTGATGAGGTAATAGATTTGATGAAAGTGAGCATTATTAAAAGAAACAATGAGGTGAAAGTATAATCAATCCATATGTGTTTATTGAAATCCTGCTTAATTAGATGATTATACAAAGAAATTCAAGGCATGGCTCATGTCATAAAAGAGTGTACAGTCTAATTAGAGAAAACAAACATATATGCTTTCTTATCTAGGTAAGGAGATGATAGAATCCATCTTATAGGACTTAGGAAGATGAAATGAGATAAAACATTAGGTCAGTACACGGCACGGCACATAGAAAAGCACTCAATAAATGATAGTAATACAGTTATAAATGAGCAGGATTTGTGTAGTTGGGAGTTACAGAGAAGGGAAGAAAAATGCATATGGATCCAGATAAGGTGGAAAGCTTTTATGAGGAGGAGTATGAGATAGGTATCATAAAGGAAACAACACTCAAGAAATCTGATGTCATATTGCACTGGTCAAATCTACTGCAAAAGACCTCTTTAAAGTGCTGAAGAGCAAAGACATCTCTTTGAAGACTAAGGTACCCTTAACCCAAGCCTGGCATTTTCAATTGCCTCATGTGCATGTGAAAGCTAGACAGTGAATAAGGAAGACTGAAGAAGAGTTGATGCTTTTGAGTTGTGGTGTTGGCAAAGAATGCTGAAAATATCATGGACTGCAAGAAGAATGAACAAACCTGTTCTGGAGGAAGTCCAGCCGGAATGCTCCTTGGAAGTGAGAATGGCCAGATTTTGTCTCACCTTCTTTGGTCATGTTCTCAGAAGGGACCACTCCCTGGAGAAGGATATCATGCTTGGTAAAGTGAAGGACCACAGAAAAAGGGGAAGGCCCTCAACAAGGTGGATTGACAAAGTGGCTGCAGTGATTGGGCTGAGGTATAGCAAGGATTGTGAAGGGGGCACACAACTGGGCGTGTTTTGTTCTGTTGTACATAGAGTTGCTATGAGTCAGAGCCAACTCGATAGCACCTAACAGCAGCAACAACAACATGAGATAGATGGAAGTAAATTGTGGAGATTCTTCAGTGCACAGAAACCACTGATTTTGCTGTGCTAAAGGCCCATCACTTTCTCCTCATTGCTCTTGGTAGTAACATGAAGAAGAGATGATATTTACCAAAAGCACAATCAAACATTATTTTAAAAAGAAAAGAAAAGATGGTCTATATGGCTTTGTAAAAATCCATTTAAAGCTGACAAATCCGAGAAAGAGAGACCAACTAGGAGATGTGGAAAGGAGCTCCAGTTACTTTGGGCCAGCCATATCCTGTGCCTTGTATTAGGTCTTTGCTTCATAGCAGTCCTGTGAGGTGGCTGTTAAATGTCATTCTGTTGATGAGGAAAATGAGGCCTAGAAAGATTAATTTGTCCAAGATCACATGAGAAGCCAGGCTGGAAGTTGAGATGTACCTTTTGTGTGCCTTCATAAGCCCTGTCATGCCAATCTGTTGTTACTGTTGTTAGATGCCCTCGAGTCAATTCCAATTCATGGTGACCCCATGTGTACAGAGTAGAACTGCTCCAGGTCGGCAGGCCGGCATGGGTGTGAACTCCTAACCTTTTGCCTAGTAGTTGAGTCGAGCACTTAACTTCTGTAAAGTTACACTGACTGAGCACGCTTCTGCTTACCTCCCCTTCCACCTCCTCCACCTTTTCCACCTCTGCCACCCCTGAGACAGCACAACCAACCCCTCCTTGTCCTCCTCTTCCTCAGCCTACTCAACATGCAGATGACAAGGATGAAGACCTTTCTGGTGATTCACTCCCATTTAATGCTGTATGGTTGATAAACTTATCTGTGAAAATCTAAGAACTGTATGGCAAGAATTGAGTTAATGGAGTGGTTTATATTATAATCAGGAAGGCTTCTGGTCAATAGTAGGCTATTATTAAGTTTTGGGGGAGTCAAGAGTTATACACAGATTTTTGATTATGTGGGGGTTAACACCCCTAACCCCCATGTTGTTCAAGGGTCAACTGTACTGTGACGTTCAGGTTGGTATTTTCCCCAAACCCCATATTTTAAGATATTCTTGTTTTTACGAGAGTGGTTAGAGGCATGCAGGTTCTAAATGGACAACTTACAGTCACATTACATGTCAGTAGCAGATTTAAGGCTAGATCCATTTTTCTACTTTTTTCTAGGCTCCATGGTTTCTTTGACATTTGTGAGATTTCTGTGTTGCCAGTTTTCTTTTTGAAGACTTTGATTTCTACTTGACACTTCTTTGAATGTTCTCATCTGCAGTCTGAAGGGAGCTACAGAATTAGGAAAGATTCCTGAGTGCATGAATACCTTGTATAACTTCCTTCTTTAAAAAGTTTCCCCTTGATCTTTCTGCATTCCCTTATTCCTGATCATTCTGGCTTAATATCTTCAGTGGCTCTTTTCCTTCTTTTTTTTCCCTCTAAAATATATATACGTTTCCTAAGGTCTTGCCACCCATCTGTGGTGTGTATTCCCATAGCTGCCTCTGCTAAGCTAGTGGCTTAAATTGTGGTACTGCTGTGAAATAAGCACTCAGAGTAAGTGTCTCATAGTTGAGTGCATCCACAGCTTTCATCCTGGGTCACTTCTGCACCCTGGATCGGAGTTTCTACATGTTAAGCTTTTCTATATGGATTTCTGGTCAGCACCTTCTGTGTCTAAAACTGAACTTATTGCTAAACTAAAGCTTATGATTTGCTTGTTCTCCTTTTTTTTTTTTTTTTTTACATAACAATACCACCATTCTCCTAGTTACTCAGTCTGGAAATTTCTAGAATCATCAGTAACTGTTAACTTATTCCATTTCCTTACCCCATACCTAAGTCATTTGTAGCAGTTCATAGATACTCTGTTTTGGGTTGTTGGCTTTTTGTTTTGTTTTGTTTTTCCCTTTGCTTTTTAGCTTGGGGAGAATCTGTTGATAGATCTTCAAGCTCACTGATTCATTCTTGGTGCAAGTCAAGTGTACTGACAAGCCCATCAAAGGCATTCTTCATTTCTGTTACAGTGTTTTTTCATTTCTAGCATTTCCTTGATTCTTACATTACTCATCTATCTTGCATGTTGTCCACCTCACCACTTCAGACCCACCAGCTGCTCTGGGGTAGAAAGATGTGGCGGTCTGCTTCTGTAAAGATTACAGTTCTGGAAACCCAATGGGAGTCACTATGAGTTGGAATCAACTCAGTGCCAATGGATTTAGTTTTCAGGGGTTTTTTGTTTTGTTTTGTTTTGTTTTGTTTTTAATTATACAGGACATCTACTGATGTGATAAGATTTGGGAGGAGGGGGAAGATTCCCTAGACCTCTGATTAGGCTCAGTCTTTCAGTGAGCCAGTACCCCTGGCTTTACATTCGTTTCTCAGCATGTCCCCCAACCCTTAGATGAGAGAGGAAGGCTAGAGAAGGCTGGAGTTGGATATTTCCCTTCACCAAAGTTGGTTAAAACCAAAACCAAACTCATTGCCATCCAGTTGATTCCAACTCATAGT